AGGATGCACTTCACTCCTGGCTCTTCTTTCTTGATGATAGCAATATTCCCCCATCCCACCTCTGGGTTGGTTCATATTAAACCCGATGAGGTGGCAAAACTGACCAATCCCCATGTTAGGGCTCTATACACTTCTTATCATGGTACTAGTCCTGGTGTGACACTGTGGGCTAATGTGCTGGACTGCGAAGTTGGATTGAACTGCAAGGTCGGCAGTTCAAGCTCACCAGCCACTCCTCCGAAACCCTGTACAGGGTCACTATGGGATGGAACAAACTTGACGGCAATTACCAACAACAACAACCACCACCTGGTGTGGCAAGTAGCTCTGGTACTGTAGTGATTACGAGTTGGGCTGCTAACCTCAAGATCAGCAGTTTGAAATTACCAGCTGATCTGCGGGAAAAAGATGAGGCTTTCTGCTGTAAGATTTATAGCCTTAGAAACATTATGCAGGGTCACTGTGAGTCGGAACCAACTCCACAGCACACGCCATCACCACCACCACCACCACCACCTGGTGTGGGTTAATGTGCTGGATTGCAAGATTGGTTTGAACCACAAGGTCGGCAGTTCAAGCTTACCAGCTGCACCTCAGAAATCCTATACAGGATCAACGACTATGAGTTAGAGCCACCTCCACAAGGGTACCCATGCCTTTATTTATATTGTTAGCAAGCTATCCAGCCTCCTGGGTGGGCCACAAGCACCTCACATTTACTTAGTCCTTTTGTTCTTGTTTTTGTTAAGTTTCTACCCAGTTATTATAATGAAATATCCAAAGGCCCAGAGTTAGAAAACCAAAAGGGAAGACAGGCTTAGCATTTCTCAAACAGAGAACTGAAGAAAAAATTCAATCCTTGACTTGTGGTATTGAAGGACTTTATGGGTAAAATGTTAATGCAGGAAGCATCAAAAGAAGATGGAAGAAAGGAAGCAGCATATGATCAAGAACCACTGGTACTGAAGGAAGAAGTCCAAGCTGGACTGTTTCCCGGAATTGATGGAATACAAATTGAAATCTTTCCACAAAACTAATGCAGTACTGAAAACACTCACTCATTTATGCCCAGAGATTTATAAGACAGCTACCTGGTCAACTGACTGGAAGAGATCTATATTTGTGCCCATTCCAGAAAAGGTGACCCTACAGATTGTGGCCACCATTGAACAATATAATTCATATTGTATATAAGTAAAATTTTACTGAAGATTATTTTAAAAATGGCTGCAGTAGTACATCAACAGGGAGCTTCCAGAATTTCAAGCCAGATTCAGAAGAGGTCATGGAACAAGGAATATATATCATCACTGACGTCAAATGGATCTTGACTGCAAGCAAAAATCCAAGAAAGATGTTTACTTGCATTTTATTGACTATACAAAGGCATTTGACTATGTGGATCATAACAAACTACGGATAGCATTGCAAAGGATGGAAATTCCAGAACACTGCATACTGCTCATGCAGAACTTTTACGTAGAACAAGAGGCATTCATTCGAATAAAGCAAGAGGATACTGTGTGATTCCAAATCAGGAATAGTGTTGTATCCTACCTATCAATCTCTATGCTTGAACAAATAATCTGAGAAGCTGGATTTAGTGAAGAAGAATGCAGCATCAGGATTAGAAGAAAGCTATTAAAACTTGCAGTATGCAGACGACACAACCTTGCTCGCTGAGAGTGAAGAGAACTTGAGACACATGCTGATGAAGATCAGAATGGACTACAGCTCAATGTAAAGAAAACCAAAATCCTCACAACTGGACCAAGAAACAACATCATGATAAACAAAGAAAAGATTGAAGTTGTCAAGGATTTCATTTTACTTAGATCCACAATCAAGGTTTGTCATGGAAACAGCAGTCAAGAAATCAAATGACATATTAGATTACACAAATTTGCTGCAAAAGACTTCTTTAAAGTGTAAAAAAGCAAAGATGTCACCTTAAGGACTAAGGTGCACCTGTATTGGCCATTGTCTCATACATACACCTATGGAAGCTGGACAGTGAATAAGGAAGACAGGAGAAAAATTGATACATTTGAATTATAGTGTTGGATGAAGAATGTTGAAAGGACCATGGACTGCCAGAAAAGCAAACAAATCTGTCTTGGAAGAATAAGACCGGAATACTCCTTGAAAGTTGAGAGTGGCGAGACTGTCTCATGTAATTTGGACATGTGACCAGAAGGAACCAGTCCTTGGAAATGGACTCCATGCTTGGAAAAGTAGAACATCAGTGAAAAAGAGGGAGACCCCAACAAGACCGATTGTCACAGTGGCTGTAACAGTGGGCTCTGAGGATAGCACAGTATCAGTCAGTCTTTCGTTCTGTTGGGCATAAGGTTGCTAGAAGAGCCATATTAAGAAATTCACTGTACCACTGTACCACAATGTGATCTGACACAAGCAGACCCTCTGGGCTCCCCTCTCTCTCTCTCAGCCCCTGCCCTCCTCACATATACAGACACTGTAAACCCACCCACTGTGTTCTGCTCACAGTGAATAATTGACCCCTTGGGGACTGTCAGAAAATCTCACCCAGGGTCCTATTTTTGTTGATGTCTTTCTGGGTACCCAGAAAGGAAATCCCTGAGGGCAGGAACCCGGTCCATTTGTGTTTGTGTGAAAGCCAGCGCCGGCCTTGATATTGGGGAGCAGAGCCATGCACCCACCAATCTGGCCTCCAGGAGAAGTGCTTATAAGGAGGGAGAAGTGCTCAGAGGGGTGGAGCAGCCCGAGAAGTCCCTGGGCCTGGTGACAGTGCTTGGGCCATCTGTGGACCTTGGACCCCATATTGGATCCTCTCCGACCTCCCAGCCCTTTTAATCAAAAGCTTTTGGGCCCAAAGGGCTTGTGGCCATCAACTCTGTAAGAGATGTCAGCATTTGTTATGAGTTGGCTGGCCCTGGCTGTTGGTGCAGGCAGCGTGCCTCCCGGCCAGCTGAGGATATCAGTTCCAGAGTGTCACTACCACTCAAGAGATTCTGCTGATAGCAGGACCCCACTCCACACTCTCAGACTGGTGGAACTTCGGGGCTCAGGGTGCCCTGATTTGGAGTCAGAGCTGCCCCAGGGCTGTTTGTGGCAGACCCTTGGCTTCAGAGGGCAACTCCCTGCCTCACCAGTCTAGGATGTGGCAGTACTGGGTGTCCCTAGTCACTGTCCCCCCTGGGCAGTGGGGATAGGACAGCCCTATTCCTCTGCTTCTCTCTGGAAATGCCTTCAAGTTGTAGGATATTCATAGTACTGGGCTCAAGCTTAAGGATTATGAGGATGGTGCTGGACCGCTCAATATTTTGTTCTGTTGTTTTAACAAGGGGAAAGCCAAAACCTGGGAATCTGAGTCCGTGTTTCCCTTCAAAGTATCACCCTGGAGCTGGGTGTTGCTGGAGGGCTCATGTTCAAACCATCAGAGCAGAGTGACCCAGCTCAACTGTGTTCACCCTTGATTGTTTCCCAAAATCAAGCCCACTCCCAAAAGACAAAGATTTGCTGTCTATGAGGACCTTAAAAATAGCGATGCCAGCTTTTTGGTCACCATTGTCACCTTTAATCAGCAGCGAGGTTGGAATGACAATCCAGTGGCTCAGCCTTGTGGCATTGCACTCACTCTGAGCCATCATAAAAGAGCGACTCTACCAATCTTTGGATTTGTACCTCATAGAATATCCAGGTGCAGCGGCCTCAATCTAGAGAAGAGGAACCAGAGTGCTGTTTTAAGGGTATCTATAACTTCTTCTGGTGAAGAAGAGTGTTAAAAGGGCCCTGGACTGCTAAAAGAACAGATATATCTGTGTTAGAAGTACAGCCAGAATGCTCCTTAGAAATCAGGAAGGTGAGACTTTGTCCTTCATATTTCAGACATATTATCAGGTGAGACCAGTCCCCCATCTAGCATGATGTGGGGGACTGGTCCCTCCTCGTAATATGTAGGGTGTAGGGTCAGAGAAAAAGAGGAAGACCCGCAGTGAGATGGATTGGCACAGTGGCAGTAGCATGGGCTCAAGCTTAACAATTGTGAAGATGGCGCAAGACCAGTCAGTGTTTGGCTCTGTTGTTTATAAGGTTGCTATGAGTCAGAGCCAACTCTGTGACACTGAACAACAACAACATAGCTTCTGCCACTTAGCGACCATTGATGTCAGGGCTTTACCTTGACAGCCATACTCAAGCACCCCAGTTCTGTTTTCAGATGAGACAGCTCAGGCTCTGAGAGGAACAGGTTCTTAAGGACATGTAGCCCATAAGTGGAAAGCCAGGAGTTGAACCTCCAAAGCTGGTCCGCTTTTCCCACCTTTTGCTGTTGCTTATTGAAGACAAGGCCAATGGCCAAAGAAATCCACTTAGGTCCTGAGTGAAAACTAAGATGACTTTGCTTAACTTTGAGCTTACACTTCTCAGAGGTGATTTCAGATCTGCCCAATGTGACTTTGTAGTAGACTCTGAGCCTCTGGTGGGATGAAGACAAAGTGCCTATGTGTGACTCCTCAGGTCCTAGCCAGTCAGGGGGCAGCTGTGTGGATGGGGCAAGGGTGGAAGCAATGTCCAGTTACCCTATAAGCAAGGTAAGCATGAGCTTATTTGTGCTTACTAAGCTGTAGTGAACAATTTCACATTTTTTCACCACATCAAAGATTCGGCTTCTAGGTTTGGCATGCATCTGTTTCTCTCCCAACCCCACAGCACATTCATACAGAAGAAAAGTCTCTTGTCAAACTTACAGTCCCTGACAGGGATGGAATATCCAGTAAGCAAGGTAAGCAGGGGCTTACTTAGCAATTTTTAGTGAACAGTTTCACATGTGGTGAGAAACACATGTAACTCTTCCCTACAGATTAGTAAGCACAAGTAAACCCTTACTTCTGTTGCTTATTGGGTAATCAGTCTTGGGTGGAAGGATTGAAGGCAGGGCTCAGGGTGCCAGATGGCTTTAGGCTAGATGATTCCACACCATTTACAATGCCCACATTTTCTTTTATTTCAGATGTTTGCAAGTCAGCAAATATTTACCGAGCATCTACTATGTACAAGGTACAGTTCTTTGTGCTTGGCGAGTGGGGAGAGACAGGTGAACTAACCACAACACATTCACTGCCCCTTGAGGTAGTCAGCCTCTCAGGGAGACCGACCCGTAAAGACTTGCTCAATAAAGGCTCAGCACCGGGCCCCTTGAGTCTGCCTGGAGCATTATGGGAAGATTTCCTGGATAAGGGTACATTTGCAGCAATCTCTGAAAGACAAGTTCCATTTTGTTTGAGGCTTTCCAGGCAGATGTGCTATAGTGGGGTCTGCTGTACCCTTTTGACTCAGAACCACTGCCCATAAGCAGGCCTGAGCTCCAGTTGGCTAGGGTTATGTTCCCAGCTCCTGGCTGCCCTACTGAGAGCTCCTAGCTGGTGTGTCTCCCTGAGTACTGCCTGCCTGGGCTCCAGTTCCACCTAAAGACCATGAGATCCTAAAATGATAGCCCCACCCCTGCTTGCCCTGTAAGTAACGACCAAGCCAGCTTTTGAGCTGACAAAGAAGTTTGCTGCCACCTGGTGGTCAGGGCTTTGACCAAGGCCTGGCTTTCCTGGGCTCCCTCAACCAGTCTGCTGGTGACACCTTTCTGCTTTCGGTGCACCAGACCCAGAGAAATTTAGAGAAACATGGTCATTTCTCCACTGAAGGGAACGGAAGAGGGACCCTCCTCTCCCTTCAAGCCAAGAAGCTTCAGGCAGTCCCTCTGACATGAAGAGATGGGTCAGGGTCCTTCAGTCCTAAAGGGACTACTGAGGGGCAGAGGCCAGGTCCCCCTTCTCAGGACCCCACTCCATGTTCCCCTTAAAGGGCCAGGGGCCCTCTCTGCACTTGCAGCTAGACCTCAGGACAGGGGTGACTAATCCTAACAGAATCAGCCTGTGTTCTCATCACATTGACCCAGGTTGATCTTGTTACCAGATGAAAATGTGGCTTATTGGGTTTCACGTTGATGACTGTGGGGACAGAGCCCTTTGAGTAACAGGTGTCCAGACTGCCCCGGATAAAGCCTGGACCCTCTTACCTCGCCCCAACTAGCGCTGGAGTCATCGCCTGGCTAGCACCCTTCACTGCTCTGCCCATCAGCAGCATGTCAGGACCCCAGATGCCTCTGCAGAGTAGCTGGGGGGCGTGACTTCACACCCACACTGCCCCCCCCCCCCAATGCTGAAGTCTGCTTGCAGGTACTCAGGTTAATGCTCTCCCCTCTCCTCTTCCTCCTGGAGATGAACATCTGCAACAAGCCCTCCAACAAGACAGCTCCAGAGAAGAGTGTGTGGACAGCGCCTGCAGCAGCCAGCGGACCCTCCCCAGAGCTGCAGGGCCCCCGGTCCCGCCGGAATGGGTGGAGTTGGCCCCCTCACCCGCTCCAGATTGTGGCCTGGCTGCTGTACCTCTTCTTCGCTGTGATTGGCTTTGGGATCCTCGTGCCCCTCCTGCCTCACCACTGGGTGCCTGCGGCCTATGCTGTATCCTTGGGAGAGTGTGAGGCTGATACAGGGGTGGGCCTGAAGTGGGGCTCAGAGCTCAGAAAGTACGGGCTGTTGCAGGGTCAGGTGGGCCTCGTCTCTGCCATAGGAACTAGCCTCTCCCCTGCCTGGCCTCCAGACCCCAGCTGACCCCTCAACCCCTACCGCCCATAGGGTGAGTGGACAGACCAAAAGTACCTTGGAGCCCCCAGAGCCCCACACAGATGTTAGCTTTTACCAACCGAGGTGCTGCAAGAGCCATTACAGAAAGAGAGTGTGAGGGCTGGCTGTAAGCTAATTGTGCCCAGATCGCAACAAAGGATCAATGAGGGGGAGGAGTAATTCCGTTTATGAAAGAACTTTTCACTTTTCAACAGAGTCCCAGTAGAATTGTTTTCTGGTACATTTAAAATGTGTTATTTGCAGGCAGATAATTATGCCAGACCAGGACAATTTGGGAGCACAATGATTTTGTAAATCAGACCCTTCTAGGGTGAGGTCGAATGTGGCAAGAGTTAGGGGCAGGGATTCCCAAGAGACCAGGGAACAGTGGGAAATACGGATTCCCCTGCCCTGGCTACTATCCCAGGGAGCAGAGAACTGGCTGCAAGGTGAGTGTGTCCATGAGTGCACGCTTTATAGAGGTGATCCCTGGAGAGAAGGGGATGAGGACCAATTGTGGGTGGTTGGCAGGAATGGTTGACAGCCTGGGACATGGAGTCAGCAACTGAATGGGTCCCAGCTCAGTCCCCTCAGGGTTGTGCAGGGCTAAGCAGCTCACTAGGCCCCTCCCCACTCTCCCCCTCACAGTCCAACAGGAAGGGCTCCTACCTGTTCCCAGAGTGGGCACAAGAAGCCTATCAGAATGTTTGTGTGTGTGAGCCAGAATACATGAACCATAGGGTGAGGATATGCTCTTGGGAAACCATAGAGCCCAGGGCTGATGGGTGATAAGGGAAGGGCTATGGAAAAGGCCCCTGGAAAGGGCTGTTATCCTTAGACACCAGCAGTGCCACTGGGGCTTCCTGCTTCACTAGGGCGCAGAGCTTCATCATCAGCTCCGTACAGGAACAGTGGACTTTCTCCCAGGTGACTGACGGGCATCAGGCAATGCTGGCAAATAGAATGCTCTGGGAGACCTTCACACCCTGGCCTAAAATGGGCACTTCCCTCACTTAGGGCTACCTGGGTTTCTGTGATCGGGGCACCTAGGAAATCACATGATTCGCAGAGAGGAGGATCAGAGCAGCTCTCAGCCAAGGAGAGTTTACTGAGCCCTCCTAAGGCACCAGGGAGCCCCTAGTGGGGACAGACAGTTCACCTGCTTAGCTGCTTACTGAAAAGTTGTAAGTTTGTTCACCCAGAGGGTCCTTGGGAAAAACGTTTGGCTCTTTACTGATAATAATAATTTAAAGCTCAATCATTGAAAACCCTTTGGCAGCACAATTCTACTTTGACACACATGAGGTCACCATGAATCAGAGTCCACTTGATGGTGGCTGGTTTGTTTTGTGTTGAGGTACCCGCACTGAGGGCTACACGGGCAGTCTGACTGAGGTTATGTGGTGGCTTTGAAGGTGTATTCTCTCCACAGACAGTGTCTTCCTGCTGTGGGTAGTGTGAAGGTGCACAGAACTCCATTTCCAGGCCTTGACAGCCCTCCTTCCTTCTGTCAAACACCTTCATCTTTCTGCAGAACCCGTAGGTCTGTGAGGGATGAAGTAGGTTAGTGGTGTGAACCAGGTGAGAACCAGCCTGGGCCCCAAAGATGAAAAGATGAGTAAGACAGGCCCCAGCCTGGGCTACTCAGCCCCAAATGGGCTGTGTGTGGGGGACTTGGAAATTGGAAATGGTCACCTGTGTGGTAAATATGAAAGAGGGGCTCATTGCAGGCTGGGTGCAGGAGGAAGGCGGCCTGTTTAATATGACCATGTGTTGTTCGGACACACTCCTTCCCTCTGGTCCATGTGCAGGTCTGCCTGGGCCCCTCCCTCTCCTGCATCTCTTGTATCCATCAATGTCCAGTCTGGTGACTTGGCTGGTCTGCTAAGTGGCTACCGAATTGGGCCACTCTTTTCCACACTGCCCTGTACTTCTCTCCTCTCGATGGCCACTTAGTTTGCAAACAGGTCTCCCCACAAACATTCTCATGCTCTGCCCATTTGTTTGTGCCCCTGCAGCTAGAGAGAGCTCTCAGAAACACAAGTTTGACCTTGTCCCCAAGTTGATGTCCCAAGGGCTTCTTCTGCCATAAGGAATGAGGTGCCTTCAAGGCCCTCCACACTCTGGCTCAGCCTGCCTCCCTAGCCTCTCACATTCTTTGCTCTGTTCTTTATCTTTCCGCACCACTTGTCCCTGCTTGGAAGCCCCTTGCCTTTGTCTTCACTCTCTGCTAAGTCAAGAGCCGGTAGCCCCCAGGCCAGTGTGGCCTACAGATTGTGTTTTAAATTTAAAAAAACAACAACAGCTCTTAAGTGTTCTTTCCACAGGTGTGCTTTTAAATTCCTTATTTCCTTGTCCATATTTAAAAATCAGAAGACCTCACATCAAAATCCAGATTCCTGGTTTCTTTTAAAAAGCCAGAGTTTGGTGGCAGGGTCCCTCATTCTTGCATGGCAGCTATGGGCTGGAACATGTGGTCATTCTTCCCACCTCCCCACCCCCGCCTCTGCCCTCCCCCCCACCCCACCCCAGTTGGGGCTCTGCCTCTTTGCATTGCTTGCTGGGTCTCTGTTATCTTTTCCTTTCCAAATCTCAGTTGAGATGACATTTCCTCAGGGATGCTGAGGTTGACCAGTTACGAACTTGCATAGTCCCATGAATGCTCTTCACTGTAATTACCCATTATTTGCTTAACATCTGTGTTTTCTGCCAAATTGTAGGCCCCTTGGGGCTGAGGACCAAGTCTGTTTTGCCCGTTACATTCCTCAGACTCAGAGTAGGACATAAGGGGACAGCTGAAATGAATGAGCCAGGGGGTGGGCTGCGAGAAGTGTTGGGAAGGCAAGAAACTCTCATGTTGAGTGTGTCTGAAGAGAGAGGCTTGGGAAGAACCAGCACAAAAGGGACCCTGGCATGGAACTGAAGTGTAAACTTTAACTTGAGAGAGAGTGTGAGATGTGAGACACTGAAGGAGTTTAAGCAGGCAGGCCCTTAACATTTTTAAAAGATTGTCTGAGATCCTTGTGGGAGAGGCTGCAGGTGTTTTTAAGCCTGTGTCTGCAGGTGATTAGCTGCTGCAAAGGATGGTGATTCCCCTCTAAGGGAAATCTTGAAAGCAAGATTAACTCACTAGACCTTAGGAGACAATCTCTTCCAGTCTCACTTCATCATTTAGAATTTGAAAGCAGAGCAGCTAGGACCAAGCCCAGTGAAACCAGGCCTCTCAGAGGCAGGCAGGTAGGCAGGCATTCCCAGGTGGCTTTTCTACTCTTCCATTTTGGCCACAGGGTTCTGATAGGTGGTTCTTGGGGACTAGAGGTAAGAAGTGGCATAGGCAAAGAGAAAAGTGGAGATCAGTTTGAGTGTCACCAGAAGTGGGCGTGGGACTCCCAACCAACAGTGTGGAGATAGTCTTTAACCTGATGGGCCAGTGCATGGGCACCATCTTTGCCGGCCACCTAGTGGTGCACCTGACTGCTGTCTCCATCGATCCAGCAGATGCCAATGTGCGGGACAAGAGCTACACAGGGCCTCTGCCCATCTTCAACCGTAGCCAGCACGCACATGTCATTGAAGACCTGCACTGCAATCTGTGTGATGTGGATGTGTGAGTGCACATTGTCTGGAGGGTGTGCAGGCAGTGAGCATGGCTGGGGATCACAGCTGGGGCTCAAGGCAGAGAGGGGCGTGCTTGGAGCTTTGCAATCAGGATGCCTTAGAACCCTTGTGGTTTATAGTCAAGAGAGGCAGAGAATCCATGGGTCTCTGAACAGGTGATTAGAAGCAGAAGATGAGGAAAATGAAGATGAGTTAAAGTAGGAAATATTTGACACGGCCCTGAGTATTTCTAATGACCAACTCTGCCAGTGACATGTTCCACCTCTGTCTCACCCCCTGCATCTCTTGCAAGCCTTCCCAGAAGGCAAGTTAACACTGGAGTACTCACTATATACTAAGCAGTTATGTACACCCACCCTGCAGGGTGGGCAGCATATTTCTCACTTCCCAGAGATGCTGAGAAGCCTGCCTGATGTTATGCAGCTATGGAGGACCAGAGCCAAGTTCATAGTGCAGCCCTCCTGGCCTCCCAGCCAATATTGTTATCCTGTTACCCATGTGGAATCTGAGGCTCAGAGAGGCCAAGTGACTTGCTCCAGGTCACACAACTAGTAGGGAGAGGAATCAGAATGTGCAGAGCCTGTACACACCCCTTTGGTTACCCTAGACTGCCTCACCTCCAGCTTAAAGTAGGGGGTTGGGATAACAATGCGGTCCAAGGATGGTGCTACACTTCTAATCTGAAGACCTAGTCAGCCTGCAAAGGGCTTTGTCCACGGGAAAGACGGAGTCAGGCCCTAGAGTACCAACCACTCAGCTTGGACCATCTGGTCATCTACGAGGCCTCAGTCAGCAATGTAGGTCCTGAGTGGCCACTCAGGGCTCCTGGCCCCAGCTTGTTTGAGGAAGAGGGTCGCTCTTCCACACTCCTTTGAATGTTCCTTGAGCCCCTCCCTTCCCCAAAGTGAGAGACTCATTTGGCTACCTCATCTGGCCCCCAATGTCAGCTTGCTCCCTTTGGAAAGGAAGCCTCTTTTCCTTTTTCTGCCCTCACCACCACCACCCAGTTGCGCTGTCCCAGGTGGGGCAGGGTGATGCCCCAACCTCTTCTGTCCCCCCACTTCCCGCCATGACCCTTCAGGAATACATCCCTTCCCCAGCACTTTAGAAGCCCCTCCGCCTCCAGGTGCCTCACCCCGCATTGCCACTAGAGGGTGCGCGCAGGCGGGCAGCGGCCCGGAGACCGCCGGCCCAGCATCAGGGCCACCAAAGGCCTGGCCAGTCTGCCGACCACGTTGTGCCCCTCCACCCTCCACAGAAGCGCTCGCTCCAAACACTGCAGCGCCTGCAACAAGTGCGTGTGCGGCTTCGACCACCACTGCAAGTGGCTCAACAACTGCGTGGGCGAGAGGAATTACCGGTGAGAATGGCCGGATGCACAGGTTCCTGGAGACGTGCGGGTCTGAGCGCGCGCGCAGGGACCTTGGGCCTGTGGGTAAGGGGGTGGGGTGGATCCGTGTGTGCTGGTCTCACAGTGGTGCTCTTAATGGGACAGTGGGGCTTGGACTGCTGAATGTGGGTTTGGAGTCTTTCACGTTGCTGTCCCAGCAAAAGGCGAGAAGCCTGATGACTTGGCCACCCATCTTCAGCTTTGCCCAATGCCTTTGGCTTCCTGAAGAGGTAGAAGGCAGCTCCCGGGCCCTGCGTGGGTCCCTTAGAGCCTTTAGCAAGTTGGAGCACTGGGGTGCTGACCACTGGCTACCGCTGGGCCCAGGCTCTTTTTACACAGTGTAGCATCCGCACTGCTGGGTGTGCTGCTCCTCGTGCTGGTCGCCACCTATGTCTTCGTCGAGTTTTTTGTCAACCCCATGAGGCTGCGCACCAACTTCCATTTTGAAGGTCAGTCTCAGTTCAGGTTCGTGCGTGTCTCCTGCGCCCGATGCCTGGGTTGTTGGCTAAGGGCCCCAGCCCTGGCTAAGCACAGTCTACCTGTGCCCCACAGTGCTGAAGAATCACACAGATGTGTGGTTTGTGTTCTTGCCTGCTGCCCCCGTCGAAACCCAGGCTCCAGCCATCCTGGCTTTGGCTGCCCTGCTCATCCTTCTGGGCCTGCTGTCCACAGCCCTGCTCGGTCATCTGCTCTGCTTTCACATATATCTCAGTAAGTGCCCCACACACCTGCCTTGTAAAGCTAGGCTCCCAAGGCTGCCGGGAGCTACCCATCGGGTTGTCCAGCCCTGAAGCCCTGCCCTTCCCAGTGCTGGCACTCTGTGGTGACTGGACAAGAGGCAGTGACTTCAGCCTGGAGCTGGGTGCCCTCTCTCCCCTTCTGAGCTCTGGAGTCCCCTCTCCTTTCCGCTGCTCTGAGCCTTTTCCTCCCCCTCCCCCTCCCCCACCCTCAGTGTGGCACAAGCTCACCACCTACGAGTACATCGTGCAGCATCGCCCACCACAGGAGGCAAAGGGGGCCCACAGGGAGCTCGAGTCGTGTCCCCCCAAAATGCGATCCATTCAGGTATACAGGTGGCCCAGAGGGTAGAGCGGGTGGGAGATGGGGCCCATGGGAGGGATGGGAGGTGAGCCATGTTAGCAGCCAATTAGGTGAGTTCAAAGGGAGGCAAAACTGGACCAGCAATTGGGGTCAGCGCTGCCTTAGGGCAGGAGGGTGAGGCCAAGCCTGGATTAAACACATACCCACTTGCTCAAGGATGAGCCCTGCGTTTCCCTGACCCCATGTACGAGCCCATCCAGGTTCCAAGCATGTGCTGGAGGGCGTGGAATGTGGGAACCCGGAAGCAGGTTGGGACTGCAGGAGAAGAAAGAGGAATGGACCAAAAAGTGGCCACCATGATGAGGCGACCCATTCTTAGCACAGATGATCCTAAACCTTTATACCAATGACTCTGACTCATCCTTATAATAGCCCATGAGGCAGGTATTGGTACCAGACCCAGGTTACAGATAAGCATAATGAGGCCTGAAAGTTGGCTGTCTACATTCTGAACTAGGAAGCAACTACCTCAACCTCCAGTTCAGACTTTGGCCTGGCCAGCCCAGCTGCTGGCCAGCTCATCCCCATTCCCACGCCCCCTGGCTTCCTGAGGTCAGCAGCTGGGGGTGGGGGTGGGGTCCAGTCTTTGGGGCCCCAAGGGACTGGGAAGGCCAGGGGCCCAGGCAGGCCTTGCAGAGAAGGCTGAGTCCTGGATCCCTAGTCTGCATGGCAACAGGACACAAACAACAGGCTGGTGGGCGGGTTGGGGGAGGGCCGGGAACCAGTCTTATTCTCCTCGCCAGGCTTTGACCCTGCCTGTGCAGGCTAGAGCCCCAATAACTGTGTGCCCACCCTAGTGGGCACTGTGGCAGTCATCGTGGGCAGTGGGCATCCGTACTTCACAGAGGGAACTAAGGCTCAGAGACGTAAGCAGGGACTTTCTTGAGGCTTTATGGCCAGTGCCATTAGGCAGGGCTGGCCCAGGATGCCCTGCAGGCTCTGTGCCCCTGGCCTGCATGGACTGCTAGATTTCTGGTCATTTCTGCTCTCTGTCCATCTGCAAGTGACCTGAGGGAGTCACACCACTTGTCTCATTTTACAGAGAGCTGAGGTGGGGGAGGTGCCATGGTGCTCTTCAGAAATGGATCCTAGGGGAATGGGTTGACTGGTGACACCCTCAGACTTTCCCACCAGACTAGAGTCTGGCTCCTGATCCCTCAGGCCCTGTTCTGGGACAAGCTTCTGCTACTGACCCTCCCAATCGCCCCCCCTCTGGAGCCCAGGAGCACCAGGATAGGTGTGCCCCTGTGGGCTGGGTCTTGGAGCAGGGTACTGCTCCACATAGGGAGGACAGAAAATGTGGAGGAAAATTATTCTGAGGTTCAGGCCCCGTGATTGGCCTCTAGCCCTACCTCTTTTCCAGAGTTGGCACCCTCCACTCTCGCCCACAAAGGGCCAGACTGAGATAGGCTTGCCCAGGGCCTCGGTCTCTGCGCCTGTGCAGCCAGCTAGTGGCCGGCTGGGCTATGTCCCCCAGATACAGCCTCCTCCCCACCCCCACCCTGAGCAGGAATGCGGGAGGGGCCCCTCTCTGGAGCCGTTGCCCCCAAACATAGGCTTGTTTTAGAGACGGCGTTGCTGCTACAGCGTCCTCTCTGCATTAGTCAGGACGCCTCGATCTCCGTGGAAACGGTTGCCAAGCGAGCGACAGCTGTCCCGGTGCCCCTCCCCCCAGCGCGCGGACCGTCAGGTGGGCGGTGCCGCCTGGCAAGGGAGGGGCCTCGTTGCCTGGCTCCACCCCACATCTTCCGCACCACACCCTTCCTTGGCTTCAGCGTTTTCCTGGCTTCTGTTTCCTCACCTGCAGCCCTCGGGGGCATAGCTGGGGTCTGTCCTGCGTGCTAGGGTGCAGGCCTAGGCCTTCGGGGCCATATGTGCTCACAGCAAGGGCATTTCTTTTCTGCTCCCTGGTCTTCTGAAGTGATTTGAGGGAGGCCTATCCAGAGAGTAGGAGGGGTGTGTTTGTCCCATCTTACAGAGAAAACAGACCTCAGACTCCTTCGTTTCAGGGTTTGGGTCGGCCGCCCCCAGGGTTGCTGTGAGGATCAGCGATTTCACACGACAGCTCGCCCATAAATCTGCTCCCAGATCCCCACCACCTACTGCCTATCCTTTAGGAGTAAGGGTGAGGTGTCAGTGGGACTGCCGTATCAACCTTCACACCTCAGTTACGCGAGAGCCGTGTTGCTTCGTGAACACAGTCTCGGTGCACAGCGTGGGGTGGAAGCGGGAATCCCGTTCTGATGATGGAGCTCTGGGCAGGGCCAGAAGTAGGACAGTAGCTTCTTTAGCGTCTTCTCCCCACCTCCCACCCCGTTCAGTGCAGTTCTAGACTGGGAGTATTGGTCCACAGGGCGGGGCTTCTTGGAGGAAGTGCGGTTTCACTAGATACAAGGAAGAGCTTCGTGAGGTTGGCTAGGGTCAGAAATAAGATGTTTTGAGCCTCAGAGCTTTTAAGCAGAGGGGTTTCCGCAGAACATCCCCAGTTCACTATGCCTAGACCTAGAGTTGGTGTCACCCAAGACATGGTGTCATCTCCACCGCCATGGACCTCCTCATACTAGACCATACAGAATCGTTACTAATGTCTATTATCAATTTTAATTATAGAATAATGTGATAAATATAGTTGTAAATAATATTTCGTAGATTATATAAATACTAGCGACAAAATAGTAAACTCTACATTGAGTTACAACATTAGTTACATGATTAGTAAAGTGGAAGGCTTTTAAAAAGGTTTTTTAAAATTTCAACTTCATTTTCAAAGTTATTAGGTTCACAAATATGAATTACCACAGTATTGTAGCTAAACACTAGAAATTTTGACAAAACCAGCGACTAAAAACACAGGCCAAAAACACCACCCTCAAACAAAACCACATGATTCCTAGTAATATGGTCCTTAGGTAAAAATGAACACTCTGATCAGCTCCTTAGAAGGTTCAAAATGCAAATTAGCATAGTTTTAGCCTTGTTGGTATATTGAAGGAGTCTTGGTGTGGTGCTGTAGGATAAGCACTGGACTGCTAGCTAAAAGGTTGAGGATTCAAACCCACCAGCTAATCCTCAGAAAGATACACAGGGTCACTATGAGTCAGAATTGGCTTGAAGCACTTAATAAGTTGTTGTTGTTGTTAACTGCCATGGAGTCGGTTCAGACCCATAGGGACCCTGAACAGGGTTTCCGAGGCTGTAAATCTTTACGGGAGTAGAAAGCCTCATCTTTCTCCCGCAGATCAGCTGGTAGTTTTGAACTGCTGACCTTGTGGTTCGAAGCCTGATTCGTAACCACTACGCTACCAGAGCTCCTTCTAATAATAGGTATACTGATATATATAAACTGAAATTACATAAATATTGTTGTAACTGGTGTGGCACTGTGAGTTAATGCTCTGGACTGCAAAGTCGGTTTGAACTACAAGGTCAGTGGTTCAAGCTCACTAGCTGCTCCTTGGGAACCCTATACAGGGTCACTATGGATCAGAACTGATTCAACTGCACTTAATAACTAATCATAGGAGTATTTTCATTAAAATAAATTTCTGCTGTTAACGGCACAAAAATTTTACAGTCCATTTGGTGTCACCCCATCAGACGTGTCACCAGGTGCAGTCTGCACCCGCTAGTGATGCCACTGCCACAGAGACCAGTGAGGGACTGGGTGGGCTTAGGAGCTAGGAGGCCCTGGATCCACATTTAGCTTCCTAGCTTCCCTGACCTCCACCTTCCCCCAGGAGATGGAATTCTACGTGCGGACTTTCAGCCATGTACGCCCCGAGCCCCCTGGCCAGGCCAGACCCACAGCAGTAAACGTCGAGTGAGTGCAGCTTGGACATCTCCCATTAGCGCCGCAGAGCTGTCCATGGTGGGGTGTGGGGTGGTCCAAGGCATGGGTCTGGGGCCCCTGTCTATCAGTCTGTTAAGAAGGGAAGCTAGTGTCAGGACCTCCAGAGGGGAAGGTTGAGGGAAAACGCCGGCAAGAACTTAAACTCTCGGAATTCCCCCGCAGCCCCTCCGGGTTCTTTGCCACCAGAGACCACGCGGAGCCTGCACCGCCCTCCTCCCCCGAAGCTTTTGTATTGCGCCCCCAGATCCGACCACAGGTAGGAGGAGCAGTGCTGAAACCCCATTCCAGGTGGAGGGGGCAGCGCCGCCCTTCTCCGTTGCTTCTTTTTGGCGAAATAGCCTGGGGAAGAGTCACCCATTCTCCCCTCCTTCTCAGCAGAAAAAGAGGAAGAGGCGTGTGTATAAAGTGCCGACCTCTGGAAACTTGGACCCCGCGCCCCCACGACCCAGGCTGCCCGGTGAGCACCCCTTCCTACCCACATCCTGCTTGTTAGCTCCAAGGAGGAAAAGATGGGGCCTCAAGAGAGCTGCAACCCCTATCTCAAGAGCCCTTCTACCCTTGCAGGGTCCCGGGCTTCGGGCTGCCCCTCCAGCTCTTCGTCAGATTCGACCAACGTCAGCCCGGTGCACGCCGCTGGCCCTGCGGGCGCCTACCATTCAACTTCAGCTGAGTCCATGGATGAGATTCCAGTGGCACAGACGCGCCTGGGCAGCGCCGCCCTGGCTACCCCCGGGGGCAGGACCCGAGAGCTGGGGCTAGCGCTGCAGGCGCAAGCACCCGCCGTTTTCGTGAGCCCAAGCAGCGGCGAGCCCGGGACTTAGGGCGGATTGGAGACCCGTCTGGCCTAGCCCAGTCAAGAGGCAGGAGGGCTGAGGGGGAGCGGCCGGCCCGACTCTATGCAACAGCCCACCCTCGCTGCATCCAATGCACTTTAGGGGCCCCTAAGGCCGGCGGGACCCCCCGCCCCCATTCAGCAATACCCACCCCACCGGCCATGATGCTCCAATAAACTTTTTTTATGCTTTTGCGGACCAGTGCTTGCTTTAATATGGCAAAGGCCATGCCACAGGCCCTCCAGAACCCCTGTGTAGTGGGAAGCTACCTAGATTGTCATCTGTGGGCACACGAGGAACTGAGGCGCTCAAGTGCCCGACTCCTGGCTAGGAAAGGTCCTGAAGGCTATCTGGAGGTGGCTATTTTTCTTGAAGATAGGGTTTACTCTTGCAGAGAGAAAAGTGCGATTTGGGTTTTGGAGGCAGCAGGTGGAGCAGAGGCTGTGAGGCTGGAACCTAGAGGGGTGGGGATGACCGGAAGCCACTGATCTGAAGATCCAGGAGCCTTTTTCTGGCTATGGGAGATTGCCTTCGGGTACTAGGACTCTGGGGCCAGGCATGCCTGATTCGCTTACTGTCCCCTGCCAGACTTAACTGCTTCAAACTCTGGACCCTGCGCTGGAGAATGCTGGAATTATGACCTGAAGGTGCCGACAGTTTAGCCGAAAACCGTTTTCTGGAGCCAGCTCCAGACCCCAGTCACAGGGGGAAGGGACCGCTGCACCCTCGCTCCAGTTCCTAACTGGCCTTTGGTTGGATCGCCCCTGAAGGTGGGGCCTCATTTTGAACTTTAGGTTTAGCCTAGATCAGGGGACCATCGGAAGACGCTCTCCACAGCCAGGAGGTCACCCCAGCTGCGGGCAAGTGGCGGGATGAGGCTGCGGTAACAGCTCCGCCCCGGCGAAACCCAGAGTACGCGAAGAGGGCGGGATTGGTGGGAGGGGCCAGCGTGACCTTGGTCACTCTCCCGCGGAGACAGCCCTGGGGGTGGGACTCACTGTCTCTATGGAGACGGAGAAACAGGGGATAATACTGCGGAGCCGCCCGAACTGCAGTCCCGCCCCAGAGCCGGCAGGGAGCAGAGCTGCGGAGCCGCCTGGTCTCCCGCGTCTGTGGGTCTGTTTTTAAGTCCTGTCCATCCGAACGTGCACTGCAGGAGCAGCTACGAGGTAGAAGCCTAGAAGCCGGTAGGAGACCTGGGCGTCGACCACCTTAATCAATACCCTGCATGATAAACCGGTGGGGGAGGAGCGGCCTGGGAGGGTCCCTGATACCGAGCCGGGAGCCGGGAACGCCAGCTGAGCGGCCCTGCCCAGGCCTCAGCGTTCCCCCAACCCCCACCCTCACCTCCTGGTCTGGCTGATTGAAGACTCCAGCTGTCTCGGCGGGAGAGAGCAGGTGGCCCTAGTCTACGGGCGTGGCTGCTCCATCCATGGCCTGCAGACCCCTGGGACGATGGCCTGCGACTTGGCTCCACCTGATCAGTCCAAGAGTACCAAGACTCCATCCTCCCACAGACAGGAGTGAGCACACGACGCCAGATCCTGCAGTCCCCCAGGACAAGCATCCTGTGTTACCTAAGTCCCCTCCCCACTCCCCAGAAAAAGCTAACGCTGGGTTGCAGGTCCCTGGTGAGGGGGTGACAGTACATGAAGACAGGAGGAGAGGGGAGACCAGGGCAGACTGGAGTCGTGGTCCCACAGAGCTCACTGTACTAGAGGAGCTATGAGTGATCCGGGCCCCAAAACAGCAACTTTGGGATGGATGTTGTGTGGTCAGTAGGGGAGATATTTCAGTCTTGGGCCAATTTTAGTGGAAGAGGAGGTGGCTGGGCAGGGGGGACCAGGCCGTGGTGAGGAGAAAAGGCAGAGATGGGGGCCGGTTACTGAGGGGTCTGCAGGGTAAAACTGAGGCGTGGTCTGGGAGCTGCTGTGGCGAAGTGGGTGTCAGCAGGCCTGGGAATATGGAAATACAAGTCTGTGAGTGTGGTCACTGGGGGCACTGGGGCAGAGCTGAGGTGGTCAGAGGGTCTCAACACAGGTCTGTGGGGGTTGGACAAAGAGGGCCAGGGTCGCAGGTGTGTGGAGAGGGAGTGAGTTGTTGAAGGGACGGTTAGGGTCCCAGTGAGGCTGTAGTCAAGATGTCTGTCACAGGGTTATGGTGTGTTCATGGTGGGCACTGCAGTGCAGGCCTGAGGGTGTGGTCAGGGCGGCTTCAGTATGGGAGGGGGAGAGTAGGAGTCTGCAGTGCAGGACTGAGGGCACAGCTAGGGGATTTCAGGGGGGCTGCAGGTGGGTGTGACTTTATTGTAGGGCTTAGGATATTATTGAGGGACCTCAGGACCAGGAGTACGGTAGATGTGGAGGTCATGGTCCGGGGCTCTGGGTGTGGATGGAGGATACTGCAGCTTGGTCTAATGCCTGGCCAGGGTCCTGCAGTGGAGGCCTGTGGGGGTTGGAGAGACCACTTTAGTGCAGCACTGAGGGTATGCTGGATCAGAGGGCCTCGGTACCAGATTAAGGGTGTGGTCAGAGGGTGCAGACCGAGGGTGTGTATGTGTGGGTGCAGTACAGGGCTGTGGGAGTATAATATGGGACTGGCATGGCTGTGCTTAAGGCGTGGTCAAGGAAGAACCAAAGGCAAGGACACTGGGAAAGTGGGCTTCAATGCAGGGCATAGGTGTAAGGCTGACAGTGCCCAGGCATAGTCCCACTCACCAACAAGCCTCCTAGGGCTGGTGATTCTATAGCCCTCACCCAGGCTAGCCCCCCAATCTTCTGTTCCTCCTAAACGCCACACAAGAGAAGGTTGCAGTCCCAGTGGGTGGCAAGAGGCCAGGCAGCCACGGTTGTGCCCCAGGCTCTGGGAGTGCTAGCTTGCCCCACCCGTGGGCCCCCGTTCCCCAGCCCAGCCCAGCCCAGCAGCACTGGGAGCTTCTCCCTGAGCCGCCCTGACACTATCCTGCCCTTAGCAACGTTCTCCAAGCAGCACTACCCTCCCTTAGCAACTGTCTCCAGGCTTCACAAACTGTGGCCAGGCCAGCCCCAAGTTCCTGCTCCCCTCATGTTTTTGTTTAACAGCAAATAGTAACAAAGTCCCTGCTGGGCCAGCTGCACCCCTGCCTAGGGCACCCACCCCTGCCTGGGCTCTGGCTCCCTTCTCAGGTCTGGGTCTTGTTGGGTCCTCCTGACCTTATAGAGACACTGTCCTCACTAAATATCTGCCCAACCATCAGCCTGGCCCTGACCCAGCTTGGCATGGAGCTTTCAGGGAAGGGGGAGCGGGGGAGCCTGCCCTGCCACCCTCACTTCCACCCAAATAGGCCTTGTGCCAGGGCCAGACAAAGCCAAAGACCCAGCTGCTGCCCTCACAATCTTTCTGGACAGTGTCACTCTGTTCCCAGCCTGGTGTGGGCATCATGATTTCATCTTCTAACTCTACTCCGAGCCAGAGCTGGCACTAAGCAACAAACCTTTCCTCTTGGTGCTCTTCCTAACCCCATCCCAGGCTCTGGAAGCGAGGGTGATACTGCATGCTCTCTGTAGTAGAGCCAGAGACATTCTGTGCCTTGGGGAGGGGAGGGACAGCTTGACAGGGAGGTGACCAAGATGGGTCCCTACAGGGTAGGATGGCAGAGAGCACAGACGTGGCTGGACTGGAGGAGAGCTTCCGCAAGTTTGCCATCCATGGAGACTCCAAAGCTAGTGGGCAAGAGATGAATGGCAAGAACTGGGCCAAGCTGTGCAAGGACTGCAAGGTGGCTGATGGGAAGGCCGTAACAGGGACCGATGTCGACATTGTCTTCTCCAAAGTCAAGTGAGCCCCAGACAGCCCCTGCATCTGATGTCCCCAGAAGGTGGGGAGTTGGGGGACTAAAGTCAGGGAGCACATGGAAAAGGGGGAAATTCATAATGCCCACTCACCTGGCAGGGGGAAGTCAGCTCGGGTCATCAATTATGAGGAGTTCAAGAAGGCCCTAGAAGAGCTGGCAACCAAGCGATTCAAAGGGAAGAGCAAAGAGGAGGCCTTTGATGCCATTTGCCAACTGGTGGCAGGCAAGGAACCAGCCAACGTGGGTGTTACAGTAAGTGCTCTGCTGATCTAGGGTGATCACCAAGGGGGATGTGGGAGATCTCAGCCAGTGTGGGAAGGGCTGGGCTCCCTCACCGGGTGCTCCTCTGGAAACTCTGTCCAAACAGAAAGCAAAAACTGGTGGTGCAGTGGAACGGCTGACTGATACCAGCAAGTATACTGGCTCCCACAAGGAGCGCTTCGACGAGAGCGGCAAAGGCAAGGGCATTGCTGGACGGCAGGACATCTTGGATGACAGTGGCTATGTGAGTGCCTATAAGAATGCAGGCACCTATGATGCTAAGGTGAAGAAGTGAGGCCTGTGAAGGGCCCCCCAGCACGGCTGCCCCTGCCAAAGGCTCAGGTATAGGCCTAAGGGGCACGTGGAGCAAGAGCGCTGGTCCCCTATCTGCCAGACCAGCCACCCAGAGCTTCCTGCCCAGCCCCATGGGGCCAGCCCACCAGGCCTCTGACCCAGACTGCTATGCAACCTCATCCCCTTCTCTTCCTCCCTGCCCCTAATTTCTGTCCCTCTGGGGAGAGTCTCACCACCCCAACCTAGCTCCAAGTATGGCTAACCCTTGCCTGCTTGACTCATATTTAAGCTGCTGCTCTGGCCAAGTGCCTAATTCTTCCCAGACCTCAATAAAGACACCTTTCGTACCAATATGGCCTGGTTGGGTAATGACATTTATACCCCAGAAGTAACAGCATCCTCTTGTGCCACACCTAGCTGGTCTCTTTCTTCCCTCTTCTACTGGTAGCCCTGCCCAGAAAAAGAGACACCTCCCTATCCCTTCCAATGGCACAAAGCTAGACTGCCCAGAGATACTCCCTAGGTAACCCAGAGTCCTAACATCAGCTTACCTTCCAGCAATTAGCCCTCCTCTCTGGTAGCAGTGGGAGGGATGAGACAGCAGACTTGCCTGAGCCAAGTCTTGGCAGATGCCCCAGTGCCAGGCTGGACCTCTAAGCCTGCTGACAGCCCCCGCCCCCACCCACCCCCATCCAGACAGCTATCAGGGCAAGTCATCTTGGGCCTGAGCTCAGAATATCAGAGAAGGCAGGGCCAGTAGGAACCTTTAAGGGTAGGGGGTGCCCTTCCCCATTTTCTAGATGAGGAGAGGACTTCTGCAGAATCAAGGCCAGAACTATCCCTCTTGTCTCCCAGGCCAGGGGTTTTCTAGCACAGAGGCCCCAGCTGTAATTCCAGAAATGGGTATGAAGTCTGGCACCCAACACCAATCTTTGGCAGGTGGGTAAGGTGTTCATCAATGAAGAGGTCCCAAGTTTGGAGGCACGGTGGTAGCTTCCTAAGTCCTAAGGACTCCTGGACATTTGCAGAACGAACATTTCTTTCCTCTGTGGAGCTGGATGGTAGGCCAGAGCTATTCTCATGCCCAAGGCTTTGGGGCTAACTATCCTTCCTTCCTGTAACCCAGGGTTATTAGATGGCTTAGGGCCTGCCAAGAGACAGCAGCTCCCACAAGTGCTAGATGAGCCTTGGAAGGCACATGGCTTACAGATCCCCACCTCCCTTCCCCATCCAGACCACACAGCAAAACAACACAACTCTTTATTCCCTCAGCCCACAGGCTGTCCTCCTGGGTTACTCCTGCTCCAGGTAGCTCCAGAATCCCCTGAAGCCAACTTCACAAGGGATGGGTTGGGGTGTATAGGAGATATAGAGGGAGAGTGTGACTCCAGACAGGATTCTGAGGAGGGAAGGTGGGAATTCCTGGGAGGCAGAGCCTTGCTATCCCCAGGACAGCTATGGGACACTTATAAATGACTCCTCCTCATTCAGCTGACCGCATTCCCTGCACTGCCCATGAGAGAATTTAAGAGTCCTAGGACTTCTGGTGTGGTGCTATGAGATCAGCGAACTGCAAGGTTGGCAGTTCAAACCCACGGGCTGCTCCTTAGAAACTCTATACAGGATCACTGTGAGTCAGAACCGACTCCATGGCTCTTAACAACAACACTGTAGGATAAACACTGGATTGTCAGCCACAAGGTCAGCAGTTCAGACTCCTCAGAAACCCTATATGGGGCATTTAACATGTAACAACAACTCTCCCACCAGCAAATGATTCCTCTAGTCTTGGGGAATGGATTTGAATTGCAAGCTTTACTTAAATAAGCATTGTTGTTATTGTTAAGTGCCATGGAGCCAGTTCCTACTCACAGTGACCCTGTAATAAGGTTTCCAAGTCTTCACAGGAACAGAAAGCTTCATCTTTCTCCTGGGGAGCAGCTAGCAGACTAGAACCTCAGACCTTGGAGTTCACAGTCCAGTGCTTATAAGCTTTTGCTTTCTGAAATTTCCTCATAGTGAAAAGAACTGAACTGCATCCTACACTGGGCCAGGTTCCCAGCTGTTGGACTACAGGTGAGCCGAGCATCCCGTGTGTAGAGGAGGGGAGGGGTTGACGTGCTGGTCCACTCTCATGACGAGCGGTACGACTTGGAGGAAGAAATCCAGAGCGGGCGCTGGCTAAGCCTCAAAGCTCTATCTTGCAGGAGTAAAGCAATCCCTTCTTGGAGAAGAGTCTTTGTGGTGCAGTGGACAAGTGCTTGGCTGGTCACTGGAAAGTCTGTGGTTTAAGTCCACCAGCTGCTCCGTGGGAGAACAGTCCCAAAGATTTAGAGCCTTGGAAACTGCTCTACAGAATCCTTGGCTTGACAGCAATAGGTTTGGGCTTTGGTTTTTTGTAGGATTTTTGGTCTTCTTGAAAAGTGGTTTTGGCACCTGACGGAAATCAAGATCCACCCAGAACCAGAAAGGCCCTTAAAGACAGAATGAGTGGATCTAGCATAATCTAGATCTGGCAAATGGCAGTAGCTGATCTAACAATGCCACTTAGTCCTGTTGTCAGGTGAAGCTTTGGGGACCTTATTTGCCAAGTCAGGCTGGCAAGGAAGAGAGGTGAGGATCTGTGGGGTGGAGTTACTCAAAAGCCTCTATTCAGCAGGGGCGATTCAAACCTGTCAGAGGGGCCCCAGCCCTCCCCTTTGGCCACAGAGCTTCCCTGAAGATTTGGTGGCTATCCCAGGGCAAGGAATTTCTCTCCACTGGTTTTCTCAGAGAGGCCCCACAGTGGTTTGGCTCTTCCCCTGAGAGTCCAGCCCCTACCCTTGCTTTCTGGACCCTGCCCACAATACAGAGAAGACCAGAAAGAGTCAACTTCCCCAGGAGCAGCCAACACCTGGGTCACCCCCTTTCAGTGGTAACAAAATAAGGGATGAAAGCAGCTCAGCCTGGGTCAGGATTTTTTGCTCCTTAGAGGCACCTTGAACAGGAGGATAAAAGATGAGTTGGGGATATAAAGAGAAGTGGAATATGCCTGCCCCCGTACCAGTCTGTCCAGTAGGTGTGCCCCGTGCACTGAGCTAAACCAACCCAAAGCAAATCCATTGCCATCAAGTATATTCCATCTCACAGCCACCCTACAGGACAGAGTAGAACAGCCCCAGAGGCTTTCCAAGGCTGTGATGTTTATGGACTCCTGGTGTGACGCTGTAGGATCAGCACTGGACTTCGAACCACAAGGTCAGCAGTTCAAACTCACCAGCCGCTCCTCAGAAACCCTATACAGGGTCACTATGAGTTGGAACCGACTCGATGGCACTTCACAACAATGATCTTTATGGAAGCAGACTGTCACATCTTTCTCCCACAAAGTGGCTGGTGGGTTCAAACTGCTGACTTTTTGGTTAGCAGCTTATTACTTAATCACTGCACTACCAAGGCTCCTAGTGCACTGGGCTTAAACCCTGAACTACGAGGGGAGCTTCCAAAATTTCAAGAAACAATGGAATTGAAGGACAATGGAATTTTTCCCTGACCTTGTTGAAACCCTCTCATTTACTCTTCTTACTGACACGCCTATATAACGTAAACTCACTTTGGCTCGTCCTGAGTCACACAGCTCAAAGAAACGCAAAGTTCCTCTACACGTTCCTTTTGGAAACCCAAGGGGCCAGTCTCTCCAAATAAAAACCAGAGATCTGTGAATTTGATTTCTAACTCGTTAGTCAGTGGCCTTGTGTTCTTCAAGTGTCCTTATCATGGCAATAACTCTCCTTTCCTGCACGGCACCTGAGTCAGGGGAGCAAATAAGTATTTAATCCGTCCACCTGCCTCTTTCTCCAACGTGCCTCTGAAGATGAGGAGCAGCACAGCTGGCATTAGGCTGACAGTCCCTTGCCCTCTACACACTCTGGCAACATTCACTAGCTGGAAACACCTAGAAGTGGTCTCGTTTTTCCCTATTGAATTTTTAAATGCCCAACAAAGATTAAAGGAAAAGCGTGCCTTGTGTTTGAAATATGTTGGAGTCCTGGTGCTGTAGAATATGCACTTGACCTCAAGGTCAGTTTGAACCACCAAGGTTCAAACCAAGGTCGGTGGTTCAAACCCACCAGCATCTCCTTGAAAGTCCTATACAGGGTTACTGTGAGTCACAATCAACTCAATGGCAATCAACAATATATAAGGAGTTCTGGTGGCTCAATGTTTAGGCACTAAGCTGTTAACTGAAAGTAAGTTTGGTGCTTTGAACTTACCAGCAGCTCCACAAGAAAACTCCTGGCCATCTCATCCCATAAAGATTACAGGCTAAAACCCCACCCCTGTGCTGCCACATGAGTAGTTGTGAGTCAAACATTGACTCTAAAGCACCCAACAACAACATACGTAAAACGAAGGCTGAGAAGTTGTTTCTTTCGCCTGGACTGCCTCAGCCTCCTCTCTGGGTTCTCTAGTTCCTCTTTGTCCTCTCCAATCCCCTCTTCTGACAGAGGTATCTCCACAAACATAAAGCTGTCATCTCTCTGCCTTCCTAGTCTAAACCTTCAAGAAGCTATGCCACCTGCTCACCTCCTCTCAACCCCTCCGTTCCCTGAAGGGCCATGTCCCTTCTCTTCTTATTGCCTTTGCAGATGCTGTTTCTCTTGTTCTCAGGCCCTACGCTTTGCCTGGTAACCTCCTATCATTCTCAGGTCTCAGTTGAAAGACACTGCATCTCTAGTCTAGGACAGGCTCCCCAGTCCAGTTATATGCTCTTCAGGTGCCATGTATCAAACCCTTTTAGTATTTTCATAATCACAGTACTTTGCTCAACACCTGTCTTTCCAATTAGTCAATATCCCCAGCACCTGGACCAATGCCTGACTAAAGGACTGAATGAAATAACCTCTGGTCGGTCAATATCTTGCTTGCTAATTGGATTGTCCCTCACCTCCCATCAGCTGAGTGCCCACCCAGCTTGGATTAATGGCACTGTCACCTATCCAGGTCCAATGGGCAAAACCTGGGGCCACTTATCACATACTACTAATCAGATAGATCTGGTGATCTGTCCTGTTCACGTCCCATCTCTCTCCTGACTACTCTGCCACTATGTTTTCCCTGCCAATCCATCCTCCACACTGTTACCAGTTGCTGTGCTAAAGCTTAGACCAGGTCAGGTATCTGTGCCACCTCCAGTCTGAGCCATGAGCCCTCTGGGAGCTTCAGATTCTCCTCTGCACCCTTGAGTCTGTATCCCCTCCACCTGCTAACATTCTACCTAGCCTGTCAGCCTTGACTCAAACAACAAGTCCTCACCGAAGCCTTCTTCAATTCTCCAAAGTAAAAACTACACTTTGTTTCTTTAGAGTACC